GCATGGAATCCATGCCTGTTTAAATGACTCTCTAGAAGCGAAGAATGCTGTATGACTTCGCAGTTGCATTCGGTGCAGCTAAATAATATTTTATCCTGAATATCATTCCTTACCAGCTAAGCCTTTCAGCACTAAGGTCCGAAAATGTGTGATGACCCATTGCTCCTTCACAATGAGCAAGAGCCAATGAACTGCATAAAACATGCATTTGGTTTCGCTGGTAGTTGCGGCGCTATTGTGAAGCCCATAAAGTAGCGTATTTAATACCTGTGTTCTTCAGATCACAGTGGCCAACGATTATGGCGTTCTTCGTCGCTGTTTCAGGCTTTTCCTCAAAACAGCTAGCCTGCCGTCTGATCGCTGAGGCAACGACGACGGCTGTTGGCAACATCACCGTGGCGTTCGCCAAAAAGATTCATGACGACCCGGCTCATCAACGGCATGAAGTCGTGGCCAGCATTAAATCAAATGTGAAGGCGACGCGCACCTGTTCAACTCAATAAGTGCCCAAATTAAAACTTTTAAGCGCTAAGTTATGTATCACCTAATCTATACCCTTAAAGGTCCAGACAAATTCAGAAGACTGATCCGTTCCAATTGGTCATTAATGATCCTGTTATACAAGTCTTCTGTCTCTGTTAGTGTATAGTTTTGCTTTGAGCTTCGTGTTCAGGAAACTGGCTGAATAATAGTTATGTCCACATCGCAATAAGCTTGTCGACTTGAGAATCTAGTTTGCTTAGTTCGAAGATTCGGACATATATTTCAATGATTTTAGAAAAATTGTTTATACTCTGTGGTGACTTTTTATTGAGCTAGCAGGCATGTAAAAGCGAATTACAGCTGTAATCCACATTCATCAAGTAGCATGGCTTTCTCAAACGTCCTGGTAGAAACGTTCCGGAAAATTATACCGTTCTTATTATCCGCCGGTAAACGACTAACTACCTTTATTTCATAGGGCTGCAGCAAAGCATGGTTTGTCGCTTGAGCGAATTATGAGTATAAAAAAAATTGTATGATTTGAACTCCATATCTACAAAGTGCTAAGCAAACTATTAAAAAGTTCACTGTCCTGCAGAGCTTCGAATATTTTGGCGTCGTGGCCAGTTGAAATGCTCAATCTAGGCTTTCTGAACCAGGGACCGATGTTCGTATACACAACGAATTCGGTAAAAATAATTTACTTTGTCCTCACTGAAAATTAGCTTCGTAGCAGTCACACAAAAACATCAGGGATATCGCTTGTTTATCTGCGTATAGCAGCATCTTAACCGATGTTCAAACGCAGCTTTGATCTTCCAAATTCAAAGATGCGGTTTTGAATCCGATGCTCAACACGCGCTTCAATACCACTGAGTAGTAAGGGCAATTTGACTCATCCGGCTTCTACAAATCAAAGGAGCGGTCCGCTTAGTCAGATAAGAGTAAATTTGTGCTGCTTTATCCAAGGAATTTAAAATTGGCAATTGCCACAATGATCCCGGAACATCAAGGTTATATTTTGTTTATAAACTAAGAAACAATTGCTCCTCTACCTCCTGGCCATATGACTTCATGGAAACTGTTAACTCGTAGTAGACGGCTAGAGGGATCTTGCCGTTAAATCCTGAGTTATTAGTGTGTCAGTCAGTTAAATTAAAGTTTATACACGACGTGGAAAAGATAACTGACCGCCTTCTGAAGATTAATTTGACCGAAACCGAGTAAACAGCAAAATCTTTTAAACCTCCTGTGTACAACGCCGTGTGTGTTATCTAATTGTTGACAATTCAGAATGAAACAAAACACGATCGGTAACGGGAATGAGCTTCAGGATTCAGCATCATAATACATGGATATTGATCCAAGCAACGGCACGTCATTCTTAACTCGTCTGTAACGGCCACCAGTTTGTCCCGCCGAATCGACATTACTGATTTTATCCTATACGTGATTGCGGATTGTGTTTACGTTATGAAATATTTAAAGCAGTAGCAGATGTCTGTATTTATTACGGAAACGCTGAGCGAAATTCTGCCATGCATGAAAGAGAAGCACTTTCTGACTGTCCACACCAATCACCAAAATTAAATAAGCAAAAAGCATTGATTTCTCTACTTGACACCGCATCAATGATTCTAATCTATATCGACTGGGTTTTATGACTTCTGTTTTACACGCAAACAAGTTACTTTGCACGTTCATATAAACAGGAACATTCTAATCAAACAACACTTTGCATAGTGGAAAAAATTCTGTTCTCGGGACAACAAATACAAAAGGGCGCGGTGGCACAGAGGTGAAGAGATCAGCTTCGAACTTCGAAGGTACAAGGTTCGAGTACCGAGAAGGAATGATCCTTGTTAAGACAGGGAATTCCCCTGAGAAAATAATTTATCCCACGTCGCGCCGATTCATCTAACCGAGGAAAGGGGAGCAAGTTGTTGAATTGTGAATAACAGAGACACCTTGGAATTCTGAGGTAATCATACTAGTACAGCTGAGGTGTGGGACCACGTTGGTCGCTGAGAACAGCTCAAGTGGCTGCATTTCGCTTCGACTTAATTTGTATCTGATTATCGGTATGATAACCAGTACAAGATGTTACCCACAAACGTTATCTAGCCGCAACGTCCGGACTAGATTACGCAAGCGTTTAAATATGAAACATCCCCACCCGTCAATATTTACTTCGAAATAACAAAACAGACACTGAATATACAGTACATGAAGATACAAATACAAAACAGAAGAAAAGCAGCCTGCTCGAAAGAAGCAGAGCTTCTTTAAATTTCAGTGATGTCTCTTTGAGGATGCTTATCCGGACAAGCTTCAAGCAATCTGTCGCTCAGTGTAAAGTATATTCAGTCTAGGTTCCATATACGGTATGCCCAGCTTAAGAGGCCACTACATAGAATCCAGATTATGCAACAATTGTGTCAACCAATGCTGAGTAGACTTGTCTTCCTTAAGGCAGGTAATGAACGTGGAGTCACGCAGCTGGTCAGGCAAACACTGGCGAAGGGCTTCTCGAGCTCTGATAAAACAATCCAGTGGAATAAGATTATCCTAATGATACATGACAAGAAAAACGATACAACTTTCAAAGCACTGCATTTGTGCCAACAAGAGTGAATTTCCTGCCAGTTCTCCGGATTTACACGACGTAGGCTTTCCAATAGCCTGGCGGGCTGTCCAAGCAGGTCACGGCTGCATGATACTTTAGCACCTGCAGTCCATGGTTGCAACACTGTACCATGTATTGTAGGTACTAAAATATCATGGAGTCGTCGCCTACTTATAAAGGGTCTTCTAGGCTATTAGAAGCAAGGGGACAGCGCGCCTAAGCCGTGTAAATGCGGAGCGTTTACTGGAGATTGTTATTCTTACAGCTGGCATTGAAAAAAATATTGAAAACGAAATAGATTGGCTAGTAAACAAGTAGATTCACTGCCTGGGTGAAAAACGAATCATAATTTGCTGAATAACAGGCAATATTTGACTATGTAGTCGCCTACCAAAATCACATTCAGCACTTTCTCAGAAACGTAGCATCAATCGGGTGTCAGGCTGATTGAAAAATTTCTTAGCAACTAGGTCAGAACACCACATTTCGAGCAAAAATTACCTTGGATTGTCCGAGAGCCTGCTGTAGCAACGAATGACGTGTTTCAAAAGCCTAGCAGAAGGTTCCCTGGCCAACGACAACACCATCTTGCCCTAAAACAGAAGCAAACATGAATAAAGCCCAATAATGACCCGGGAGACTGCGTTGTGATTACCAGAATCATCGCCACGTGTGAAAACCTGTCATACGTCTGACAGATGTAACCAAGTCCCGTTTCGTCCAGTAAAATCTTCTGCAAAATGAACGTGGCCACCTCAAAACACATGTTTCAGATACTTTCATGATGAACGAAAGATGATGTTCATATATGATACCGTTTTTGAGAGTTCGCTGCCATTTTCCATGATCCTCAGGCAGAGCGGAATGATTTCTGTACTCAGCAGAAACGTAATCACCTCTTGCTCGTCAGTCTGTTATCAATGCATAATAAACATAATACTTAACGAGTAAACAAGTTATACCTTCACAAGTGCACCAATTACTCCGAGGCTGGTTAAGCGAAGGTATTCGAAAGGCCTGGTCTTGCTCGTGGTATGCAGAAACGGGTACAAGAACAAAGGAATATGAGCTTAAATGAAGCTAGTTGAAAGTAGACAACTTTCCTCGTATTTTTAAATTTTGACGATGTAAGGAACATTATCAACATCCGATCTACAGTCGAATGAAGCCTTTCCAAGATTGACCATTTAGACTGATCGAATAACCTTCTTGCATAAATTTTATCTTGGGTCTGGAGACAATTTATCACATGATTTCCACTACCTCAATAAGACCGATCAAGTCACTTTGGTTCACTGATGGTCATTTTTTCCAGTAACGTATCCGTTGCTATTTCAATTTTCACTCTTTAAAATGACACAACAGACCCTCCCCTAGTGCCTGCAATTCACTGCATACTCACAACTAACGTAGTCTATTCTGTTCACTGACAAAAAGCAATTTAAATTGGACAATGTTTAATTGGACATCTGGAAATGATGAATAAAAGTGCATTATCTGGCATTAGGACAGTCGTGCCAACGAAGTAATGCATTTGGCGATGACGATGTCGAGTTGTTTTAAAATGTTGCTAGCCTACTCAAGCAAACGGTGTCACACATCTAATAAGATGCATTAAAAAATTTGTGCCCGAAATTCTAACTTTTTAGCCATGCTGTCAATGGCAGCTACAGACTAACTACATAATGCGACGATACACGAGGTAAGTCGAATTACTCAGGTCACAAGCCTAATCCCCCTAGAACAAAAATAATTTTCCCACATAACCAAGAGAAAGATTTTGCCACAATTGCTCTTATTCACTCATATTTATCCCA